TGCCACGCGAGACAGTATGCATGAGAAAAGTTGCAGATGCCATCCCGGCGCGGAGCTGCATCCGGGATCTTCGATAAATCTCGGGCACACACATACAGACAGACACACACACACACACACATACACCGCGCGCGGCCAAGCTGAAAAGAAAAGCAATTTGCATTTCGTTTTCCGTGTCATTTCGTCTGTAGCTGCGAGGCGCTAGTTTGGCAGCTATGGCTTCGCGTACCGTTGCTCTCGACGGAATTTCGATTTCTCCTTCACAGAGACGCGTCGCGGTGCGGCGGGTGGAACAGCAGCAGCGGGAGAGAAGGAGGAGGAGGAGGGCGGCTCGGGGGAAATGGTTCCGCGCGCAATTTCCACGCGTCGCGAGAGAGAAATGCGTAGCTTAAGCTCGGGACTTTCGCCGCGGTGACTTGCCGCCACATTGACGGGGAGGGGGGGGGGAGAGGTCGGCCGTGACAGAGATATGTCGTGCACCGCGAAATAACGACCTCTTGTGGGGTCGCCGTCCACGTTCTCTTCCTCCTTCTCCTTTGTTATCGCTCACGAGTTCGCGAGCGGAGCCGGACCGGACAACGTCGGACCGTTGAGTCGCGGAGCGACAATAGGAAGAGGAAGAGAGAGAGAAAGAGAATGGATGCTTTCTCGGCCGTGGTGCTACTCGATCGCGCTCCGTTTTTTGCCATCCTGCCGACGTTGTCGGCCGTGTAGACAGCAGCGGGAGAGGCCTGACGGAGTAAGAAGTCGCGGACACGGTTAGGGCATCACCATCGGCCGCCGTTATTGCGCTCTCCACTGGACTCTCCATTCTCACGGCTGACAAATCACGAGGTCCTGATAAAGAGGCCACTCCAGCCCTCCCGCGCGCTGCTCGTTCCGATTCGCCGGCGCCAAAGAACCGCGCGACGGCTGAGAGATTTGCGGGCATTCATGATTCGGCCGCGCGCATCCTGGGTTGAGGGGGGGGGGCTGAGCCGCGGAGACCCGCGAGGACCCGTACAAATGGACCGGGTCCTGCCTGCTTCTTTTTTTTCCACCATAAATCTTGCTCCATTCTACCGCGGTGACCGCGTCGTCCTCGGGAAGCGAAGGATCGAAGGATCCTGCACCGGGTGCAGGAGCGCGCGTTTATCATGTCTGGCTATTGTAGAGCGATATCGCATCGCCGGAGAAGCGAGAGCCGTTCCGTTTAAGAATGTGCTGGCGGAAACGAGCCGGGGTAATAAAACAACAACGGGGATAAGGTAATGAGCAGCCTCACGCGAGGAATGCTCTCGGGTCTGGCCCTCGTCTGCCTCTCCGGCGTTTCCTGAGTTCTTTTCCGTCTCTTACGCGCGCGAGAGACGTGAGAGTCCTTATTAAATTTATATCCCGTCTAGACGCTATACATACGCGACTGTGCGTGGTTGATCCTTAAATTCTTCTCACGTCACCCGTGCATTAGCGAGTTTTTTCTCTCTCTGGTAATCAGAGTACGGTCTCAGTTCGTAGGCTACGAGATACGAGGTGGTTTGTAATTTTTTGTAGGAATTTCAGCGTCTTGCTCGATGGAGAAATTCTCCTGTTGAAAGACATTCTCGTATCGGGCTGGACGAATACCATTTTACCCCTGCAGGTGCGAATATTCCCAAAATCCTCGTCCTTCGTCCGAAACTTGGCGTGAATTGAGCCGGGGCTAAAAACCACCGAGATCAGACACAGCTCGAGACCGCGCTCACTTTCTTCCTGTCTTCCTCTTCCTCTCACAGAGAATTTCGCGTGAGCGAATCAATGTTCCCGGCGGCCGGCAAAATGTTAAACCCGTAAGTACCGGTCAGAGGCTGGCGCGACAACAAGAGCCTCTCTCTCTCTCTCTCTCTCTCTCTCTCTCAGGAACTGTCAGGAACATAATTCGTCGTCCGCGCGGAGTTAATTGAAATCCAGCCCGTCGACTGGCTCGTTCGCTCGCTTGTTCGCGCTCGAGCGGCGTAAACGTATCACGGAATGGCATTATATGTCTCTCGCGAGCGGGAATTAAATTTCGCGCAGTCACTTACGGCGGACGCCGCCGCTCGTCGGGGTTAAGTCACCGGTCGAAATTCGTCTTTGTTATTTCCGCGCGCCGCGCGCCGGCGGTAAATGAAGTTAGCACCGTCGAGCTCGGAGGAGAACGCCCGAGGAGGAGCGTTCCCGCATTAGCGGGTGGATAAAACGCGGCGGCAGGCGCGCGCGTTAAATAGACAATCGAGACTGGCACTAAATATATTGCGAGTATTTCGGTGTCCGCTCGGTGGTGGTCACTCGGCGCGCTATGCGCTATCATTTTAATACGGATCTCTGGAGGCCTCTCGGCGGCTCACAGAGGAGATCGCTGCTGCCGCTCGGAACGCGCGCAGCGTCGGGTGGCTGAGGAAGACGACGACGACGACGAAGTCGGCTGACTCGAGATTGCGAAATGTTATCTCGATGACGCACCGCGTATATCCGCGAAGGAAGAAAATTTGTCTCCTGCAGTCACTTCCGGGAGTTAATTGAACATTTTCCTATCGGATATATGCGGAGCGCGCTGCGAAACTCGCAAAAACGGGAATTTGCGACGACTCTGGGTAGGGACGCATCACGTGCGATGCGTTTGTTGAAGCGGAGGCCTTCTCGAAGTCTGCAGTCTGCTCTCGAAGTTTGTCCGTAAATCGTCGCGACGAGTGTTCCTTCAGTTAATAACCAAACATTATATCATCGTATATATTTCAACATGGGTTATAGAACGCGATTGTGAGAAATTGTCCACCACCAAGTTCTCCAACATCCGAAGACAACATGTTATAAAAAAATAATTGTCGCCAACTCCGCACTCGCTCACCGGTTATCTTGCGAACGAAACGCGCTCGCGCAAAGTCGACGCCGCGTCGCGGCGTCGTGTCGGCTGGACATCAACTCGCATCTTTTTCATAATTATCGGTGAACGGGGCGTGGCAATGGGTCCTCCGGTGGAGAGGACCCGCGCATCCCGCTGGCGGCGGCGACTCTCCGCGAGTCTCGAGAGGGGGCCCGCGCCGAACGCGCCCGGGGGCACTCAAATTAGCGGATACCTCGCGAACCATCTGGTCAGCCGGAAAGGAGATTCGTTTAATTTGCATTTAATCAGCGCGCAATCCCTAATATGAATATTCAAAGCGTACACTCCACTCGCCCCCCTCCATCCCTCCCGGCGCCTCCAACCTCTAGGCGCGCTTTCTGCGCCGCGACGTTTTGCCCGCCGCTGCGATCGGTAAAACGCCGCTTCCGCGGAACGCGCTCGCGCTAATATTCATCGACGTATGCGCTTTGTCGTCGTCCTCGTCTTTCTTGCCCCCTCCCGCCCTTCTACCTCTCGTTCATTTCTTCCGCGCCCACGCTCGCGGCACGCGCGCGGTCGCACCCGTCGGCGATAATGAATTCGCATTGCGTGACGGGCTGCGCTGCGCAATTTCGCGGGGGTGGCAGCAGATGGCAGGTGGCTGGTGAGGGAGACGAGGGAGGGGGGCGGATTGGTCAAAGGCGCGTGATTGCGCGCCATATTTTTGCGAGGCAACGCGGAGCGCGAAACTCCCCTTTCGCCGCTTCGCGTTTCCGCGTGCGTTTTATGCAGTCTATGTAACGGCACACGGCTTGATCGAGTTATTGTTCCCTTTGCGCGGCGCACGTCGAGATAACTGCGGCGGGCGCATTCGACGTGGCGGTAATATACAATCGGCAAAATTGGTGCTACACGTTACGAGCGTCCCGCACCGCGCGCGCGAGGAAAACTTCTTTAATCTCCGCGAGTGTAATAAGCCACGACGATAAAAGCACAGCGACGCAATTCCTCGTGCGCTCCGATACGAGAGATATCGGCGGATGCCGAGGAGGGAGGGAGAGGACAGGGGGAAAGAGAGAGAGAGAGAGAGAGAGAGAGAGGAAAAAAAGAAGGAGCCGCGGCCATTCGTAGTTGGCTGCAACTTACTCTGCCGAGCGGTGGGATTAAAGGGCGGGGGTTAGGGAGAGGGAAGAAGAATAAGCAACTTTGTCGTTCGTCGTTTTCGTGCCAGCGCCGGGGTTGCGCCTTCGGGGTAGCTCATCCTCTTAGTGCTTCGTTAAATATTCACGAGAATCTCCGTTTAAGCGTACGTTACCGTGGTTCGTCGCCGAGAGAGAGAGAGAGAGAGAGAGAGAGAGAGAGAGAGAGACCTCGGCAAGCCCGAAGAACCGGCACGACATTGTCGGCTCTCCGGGGAAACGCGCGTCGCGACCTTCGGGACAAAGAGCTCGTTAAGATCTCCTCGTTGAAAATCAGTGCGCTTCCGGTTTCATTAATTTACCGTCACGAACACGCGCGGCTCGTCGCGGGTCGCGATTAAACTTCAGATAAGGGCGGCGCAAGTGGTTATATCTCGTTGTTATCCGAGGCGCGAGACCGCGGCCGGCCGCTTTTGGCCTTAGCGGAAGTCGGCGGAGTTGGGTTTTTCGACGGGTCGATGAATACGAAATATCGCGGGCGGGGTGCGAGTTTGAAAATAAATCGACAGCGAAAGTTCACTCCCGCTCCCGCGCTCCCCGCGAATGTCGTATCGCGAACTTGATCGAGGACGAAAATTTCTTGGGATCTAATTGGGATCCGGTGCGACCGGCCGAGATCTTCACGCAGATTCGGACAGTTGGAAACGTAAGTTTCAAATACGCGGCCTCGAGTGGTAAGCTCCAAGTTTCCCTATTATTTCTCGTCTTCATTTTGCATCCTGCAACTTCATTCTTTCTCATCTATTATTCTTTTCGATACAGTAGTCGGGGTAAAAATAGGGCTCCCTGTTTGATACGTTGCCGATTGAGAGTAGGGCGAGTTTCCATAATATTTTGGTTCCGATTTTAAGGGGAGGAGCCATGCTTAGGATAAGAATGAGATTCCAAACTGTCATCGTAATCGGATGACCAATTCCGGAACAAATTTGGGAATTTTGATCGCAAACGGGAGAACTCTGGGAAATTCCTCTACGGGAGCAACAGTATCGATCCGGTGTAGAATGCATGTCATTTTTTTTATTATTATCGATATTATATCTGATATTTTACAAAATCTCCCTGTGAACCTCCGCGCTCAAGATCGCCGCGTCGTCGGCCTCGTCGGTGGTGTCTCCGTCGACTTTCTGGGAATCAGTATACTCTCGATATCCTTCCTCCTGCAGTTCCGGGTCATCGGTACTTCGGTCGATCCAATCACCGCTGCGAATTCCCGTGCGGAAATCGGCGAGGCCCGCCGAGCTGAGCATCGTGTTAAGTTTCGACAGGACGTTATCGTAAGCCGAAGGCGCCGCGTCGCGATACCCGCCGGTTATCGATACGTCGTCGTACTGCATCTCCGGCAAATTAGGCTGGTACTGCTCGACTCGGGCGCCGTAATCGGCGTAATCAACATAATCCCCGTTCCGCTTCACCAAGATGCTCCACGGCCCGTAGAAACCGCGCAAACCAACATCCTGCCAGACGGTCCTGGGCACTGTGTCAACATAACAAATGTTCTCGTTAGCCAAGGCTTTGCGAAGCAATCATCTCTTGCCGTAATTTACGAACACTTGAGGGGGGGAGGGGGAGTAGCCTCGTTCTTAGCACCGCGCGGGCGAACCTCCAGCGAATGGTCGCTGTGTTGGACAACTCGTCGCGAGGCGTTAAAAATCCGCGCGTTTCATATCGCTCGCATATGAAAATGTATCGACTTCTCTCTCTCTCTCTCTCTCTCTCTCTCATTTTGTGCTTTTGCGATCAAACTTTTATATATTAACTTGGACTCTCTCTCTCCTTCTGCCGTCGTTATCTATCTCTTGGACACACGTGTCCCGTCGAATTTCTAAGTTTCTGTGACTCAGCAACAAAGTCGCCCCAAGTCTGCGCGACGTATGTTACTTCTTGCCGAAGATATCGCGCCGGGCAGCCGAGCGGAAAGCTTGCGACTCACCCAGTTCCAAATTTCTCGTAGGCGCCGGTGCCACCTCGATCGTCGCGACGAGGGCGAGGAGGAGTCGGGCGTAACTCCGTGGTTTCATTGATAATTGACGCTCTCTCAGTTACCTCTCAGTTTACGGCTCGCACTGGCTTCTAGAATCCCGCGTTATCGCTTATATGCGGCGTCGCTGAGGTTAACGCGTGGGCCAATATTTGACCGCGAGTTTAGCGGCGAGTTTAGCGCGGTGTCCTTGCGGCAGTTGCAGGTCTTTCGCGAGAAACGTTCGTCTAATTGCTTGTTTGTCCGCTTACCGAGGTAATCCTCTCTTGAGCCAACTCAGATGGTGCGAATCTTCGAGAGGCCACCACACGGCTTTTTCGGAGCTCGCGAACTTTGTTAGTGGCAAGTATCAAAATGTTTACCACGCTCGCGCGCGACCGCTCTCGTGCGTAGCGAAATGCGTCGAACGAATCGAAGGAGTGCGCGTGTCGCTGCTGCGCGGAGGAGGAAGAAGAGGACAGAAGGCGAGGTGTGTGCATTAAACGTTTATATATTACAAATCATAAGAAAATAGTAAATGGTGCATGATAGGCAAATATAGTGGATAGGGACAAATGGCGAGTAGTAAATCCCCTCGACAGGCGGCCGTCCGTCAGCTCGACTCAGCGAAGTTTTCGAAGGGTACATTCAGGTCTCGATGTCTTCGAACAGCTTTTCCTTGGCAATTTTCTTCAACGACCCCAGCCGGCTCTGTGGAAAGAGAAACAGTTTTCCCTCGCATCAATTTTTTCGCAGTTTTACTCACACTGACGTTTCTTTACGCTCGCGTACGCGAAGGGCGCGGTGTGTGCCGCTTGACCGAAAAGTTGGCTCGACTTTTTCAAAGTTACACATCTCGGCTTTTCTCTCGAGCGACGGCACGCGCGTTTTTCACGAGAACCTGCATAATTCTCATTTTGTGCTTTACCCGACGTCGACGTAGGACATGGTGGACGACCTTCGCTTCGTGTCTAAAGCCTGACCTCCATTAACAATTTCGTCATTGTCGTCGTAGAAGGGTCTCCTGTACCAGAACAATGGGAACCCGTAGTACGCGGCTTCTCTGTCGGCCAATCCCTCTTGACCGTCTGTAAGATGAAAATTACGATATTAATTACGCAGCTTGTTCGCTCGTTATTCAGCAAACATGTCGGAACAGAAGAACGTTACTTTCGCGTAGATTTGTAACGTCGTTTCGTCGCGAGGATTCTTTCTTCGAAATTTTCACTTCAACGATTTCTTGAAAGAAACGCATCTTCGTGTTTCTGTCAATTTTTCTTTCTTTTAATCGCGCTAACAATTTTTCTCGTACAACACGCTACTTCTCGGACACAAAATTTCCCTTCGGGAAAAACATCGCGTTTTCCAAACGATCCGAACGTCATGATTCTCGGCTCGTGCGAGCGCCGTCACGATTCTTCGTCACAAATTTCTCGTCGCGTTCGGAAATCGTCCATTGGCCGAGGAGAACCCGAGGCAAATAAACTCACCGTCGTCAAATTGAGGAAACGGCCGCGCGTGAACGAAGTTCAGCACCGCGAAGACAATGGCGAGGTACACGAGGAATCTCATTTCGCGCCGGCGCGGCGGCGGCGGCGACTCACCGGACATAAATCGTACTTAATGGCCGTTGGAGTTTGTCTGAATTGCGACGCGACGTTCTGTCGTTCTTATATGCAAACGCGCGCGCGCGGCAGCTCTCGATCGAGTGACAGGCGGGAGACGTTAATTCGAACACACGACTCGAATGACTAATTTCGCTAACGAAGCCGGCAAATGGGAGCGCAAATGCGCGCGGCGTGAAGCGCCGCGCGCGCATTCGTTGTTGCTCGTTACGCACAGAAATAAACGCGCGACGCACTCTCGTCTCCGCTCGTCGCCGCGCCGCGCCGACTGAGCGATATTCCGCGAGTGTGCCGAGCGCGTTAAGAGGCGAAGGAGAGGCGGCGTCGCATAATATTTTCGGTCGATGTTTTTATTGATTCGCCAGAGAGACGACGCGCGCGCGTTCGCGCCACGCGGCAGCGCACGGGGAGCGTCAGCTTCCAGTCACGCAACTGGAAAAAAACGCGCGATATTGCGCGTATTACGCGTCACGCGAATTATGAGCTCTTTATCGACGCTTACGTAATTTCCCGCGGGAATCTGGCGCCGCGCGAATCGTGTCGCGCGTTCGCCGCGACCGGACTAGCATCGACGAGCGCTCCTACCTTCTCTCTCTCTCTCTCTCTGTCTAACTTTGTCTTTCTCCTTATCGATCGACTTCGTCCTCAGGTCGCCGTCCGTGGTTTTAAAGCATCCCGCCGGGAGTGCAAAGCACAGCGGCGGGCCTAAGACTCTCGCACAACAATCGCGATCGGATTTGCGACTTAACGAGAGGAAGCGGCAAAGAGAGAGAAGGAGGCAAGGAGGGAGAAGAGAGAGAGAGAGAGAGAGAGAGAGAGAGAGAGAGAACGAGCGGCCGGCCGCGCGACGGAACAAACATTTCGCCGAGTTTCCTATCGGGCCAGGCGAGAGAACGGTAGAGAGTAACTCTAATCTCCGGGCTCTTTGTGCGTCTGGTGTACGCGTCGAACTTTATGTGCGCACCGCGTCGTTTTGTGTCTGCGGACGAGCCATTATTACGAGTCGTCTAACTTGAGCTCGTTACCGAGCCGTAAAGAGGCCTAGCGCTGTCTCCCTTTCCCTCTCCCTCCCTCTCCCCCTCCCCCCCTCTCTCTCTCTCTCTCTCTCTCTCTCTCTCTCGTTGCGGCCCGACGTTTATTCCGCGCGGCCGCTGCGGAGGATAAATGCACGACCCCGACGACGGCACGACGACCGTCTCTCGGGGAAACGATAAAAGATCGCCCATCGCCACGTTGAAAAGTGGGAAGCTTCGTCGTCGTGCCAGCCTTCGGTTTAATCCTTCCGGTGCGAGAGCGACAATGTCGGTCTACGGTTACCAGGCGGTAATTATAGCTCCCCCGCGCGTCGGCTACGAGCGAAGGTTGAGAAAAAAGGCTCTCGGCTCGCGAGCGATCGATAGCGGGACGCGCTGCTAACGCTTCTTATCGTTATCGTGATTCTTGAGTGACGCGTTTTTGCGAGGCGTTGCTCGCGCCGCCGAAGATTTACGAGGCTGATCCTCTTAAATGGGGAAGGAGGTGTTTGTTTCGTGTTAATTCCATACAGCGATTACGACGCGGAGGTGTCGTGCTCGGTCGTGCGAGGGCTCGAGAGTGAAAGAGAGGGGGAGAGAGAGAGAGAGAGAGGGAGAGAGAGAGAGAGAGAGAGAGAGAGAGAGAGAGAGAGAGAGAGGGAAAAAGGGAGAACGCGGCAGGAAGGAGAGATAATCCCGCGCGCAACGTTATCATTAACCTGATGCACCGACGAAAAAGTAATTATTCTAATGCGTCGCTCTATCATCGTCCGGAGAAGACAGTTCCGCTTTCGCATGTTTCGCTGATACGCTCGTAAATTCCGCGAGCGAGCGAACGACTGCACGCCAGCTTCCACGTTCTACGCCGACTCGGTGCGGTTATTGCGCTATCGCGACTGCACCGACGTCTTGTCGCCATAAACTTTTATCGTTCCTCCTCGATCTTCTCGTCGGGGGCGAGTCTCGTGTCGTGTCGTCGGGCAGAGTTTTGCGGCCCTCGGAGGGCGCGCCCTTCGAAAAATTGAAAGCCACGTACCGGCCAGGTGATACGTACGACGATAACGCGTCGTTACGACCCCGATAATCTCGTCGATCGATATCTCGACCGCGGCCTTACACACCCCGTCCATCTTGCTCCGGATGGGTCTCGAATGACGTGTATCTCTCTCTCGCTCGCGATGACGACGAAGGTGACGATGACGACGATGTTCAGCCCCTCGAATGATGTGTTGTTTCCGGAAATATCCGACGCGTCGCGCTCATCTATTTCAGCGACGGCTTGAAAATTCCCCTCAAGGCCATTTTCTTCGCCACTGAACTTGGATGACGGCGGCCCGACGTCTCGGCCACTTCGAAAATCTTTTCCAGCTCGTGGCCAGAGAGAGAGAGAGAGAGAGAGAGAGAGAGAGAGAGAGAGAGAGAGAGAGAAGGATCTCTTTTCTTAGTGCTTGCGTAAAGAAAAAAAATAAACCGGGGCGTCATGAGGCTCCCCTCCTCTCTCCCTCTCTGTGTCTCTGTCTCTCTCTCTCTCTCTCTCTCTCTCTCTCTCTCTCTTGCGATGGCGACCGAGGCGCTTGACGCTTCGTCGATCGATTATCGTTACGAGGTTATCGTTAGCCAGCGGCTTTGAGGCAGAACCCGTTGGGGCGTCTTTCGCTTTTCACAAAGAATGTCAAGGAACATTTGCACACGCGGGCTTTTTTCTCCGATCGCCGCGCCGCAAACAACGGTGCGATGTTAAATGGCGATGTCGGATCGCGCCGTTACATTGATAAACGTTTGTCCGGGTAGAGCCGGCTCCGGATAATGCATCGTCACGTACCGTGAATGGACAAACGTCCATTGAATAGTTAAGATCTCCGCCGCGCACTTCCGCCCGGGGTGCACATTGCGTTTCGTTGTTTTCGCCGCCTTTGTCGTTTTATCGAGACACGCTGGTCGCTCTCGGTAAGTTCCTCCCCCGCCCCGCGCGTTGATCCTCGTCGAACGCGTAACGGCGTTTTCCAAGCAGAGAACCGTCGAGGATGCGTCGCGATCGCGTTTGTTTCTGACTGTAGAACCCCACAAATTCATCATCCACCCACGCGGTTCTTACATGCCCGGAGGAGAAAAAAATGTTTGCTTGAATGACGCGGTTTCCCCAGATGAGATATCAACGATTCGAATCGAAATTCCGATCGAAAATACCAGAATTCTGTTCAAAGTTCACCAGGGACCTCGATATAATTTAGACCATTAATTTTTCTGATCGGACTTCAGTCCCGTTAGTTTCCGTATCGTTCGTATTTCGTCAGAAGATTGTGCTTCATTCTTCTCTCCGCGCATCGATGAGTAACATCGCATAGGAGCGATCCCCTCACGTGGTCTGTCGTCGAACTTCTGAAAATACTATCGCGGAGGTGTCGAGGAGGTTGCGCAATCGCTGATTTGTTTGTACAACTCGCGCGCGATAACTTTCGAGATATCTGGAAATACTTCTGTTCTCGACGATAAGCTGTTCTTGTTTGCCTCCGCGGATGCACGGATCACTGATTCCGTAGTGTGTGATCCTTCACACCTCACGACGCTGCTAGACGTGATATCGCTCGTGTCTGATAATTCCAGTGTGGGCGAGCGAGATCCCGCTCTCGCGGGCTTCCGTTTCTGTCTCTCTCTCTCTCTCTCTCCCTCTCTCTCTCTCTCCCTTTCGCGCGACGGTCCACGACCTCCTCCCGTTTTCGCGGGACTTGGCATAGTCCGGTCACGTAACGCGTTTCCTGGTTCCCTGCCGCCGAAGGAGCACTCGGGAGATCCGATCGAGTTCCCGAGTGGCTCAGCCGGTAATACTCCAGCTCGTGACCTCGTCGTATTGACGAAGGGGTTTCGCCGGCGAAGAGAGAGAGAGAGAATCACTCGGTCGCCGGCGACGAGGGTGGGCCCTCCGTCACGTAACGGGGGATACCAAGAGAGCGTTCAAAGAATCAGGTTACGCGGCTCGACATTGATTCGGGCCCGACGTTGGGTTTCAATCGAAGGCTGCTTTTACCGAAAGCGAAACTGCCGCGGCTACCCATCACAGCGCTACGGGAGACACCATGTAATCGCGACGCTTCGGCCGGCAGTTTGATCGCCCTGTCGCCTATCGCCTCGCGCGAGTCGCTTATTGTTAGTCGGAAGACCGCCGACTCTCCGGGGCTTCTCGGGCGAGCATCGATCTTGACGATAAATATACCCACCCCTGTGTGTGCGCCGCCTCTCCTTTCCCTCTCGCCCCAAAGGGAGAGCGGCGAGGGAAGACCAGCCGGTTGGACTGTCCCATGACCTTCTCACTTGCTCGTCCGCACGGTGGACACTCACCGTGGACCGCGCTGTTTGCGTCACATCACACCGCGGCTCATGTAGACAATCGCGGATTATTCTTAGGGCGATCCCGCGCGCGGTAACCGGGCGACATTCATTCGGGGGGCAACGAGGCACGACGTAGCCGTCGCCGCCGCCGTCGTCGCCGGCGCACAATCCGATCATCCGCCGGTCGGCTGGTCACAGAGAACGGCTTTCCCGCTCTCGTGAAGGGGATCGTTGAGCGCGTTTAAGTGTCGACGAGCGTCGCGTCGGTGTTGGTGTTGGTGCGGCCTGAAACGACGGAAGCCCAGCTAGGCGTGGTACCGTCGACGGCACGTTCCAGTCCGATGTAAACACGAAGCAGCCCAGGTCGGGACTGCCAGTGCAGCCGGTACCGTTGGTGAGAACGGCCGCGCGCGGATTTCAGCCTGGCGATCAGCCTCGTCGGCGCGCAATACCGCGTCTATCAGTGGAAGCCTCACCGTCTCTCTTCTTCTCGCCTCGAGTCGCTCCGCCGACGCGACTTCGGGCTCGAGCGGCTCGTTCCGCAGCTTTTTCCGCGAGTTCGCCTCCGGCGACCGACTTGGTGAACCCTGCCAGAGACAGCCCGATCGATCGCGCGGACGCGCGTGGAGCTCACGAGACTGACAACATTGACCTTGCGAGGGCGAGCCCTCCGGCGAGACGGGTCGCGGCGCGGAATTTCGCGGATCGTGGCGCAAATCAGCGCGGAGTCTGCGAGTTCTGCGAGTTCTGCGAGTTCTGCGAGCGAAACTCCGCACGTAGACGTGCGGACGCGCGCTTCGAGCAGCCGACGGACTTGGAAAGTTACAGGGAGTCGTCGCGCGTCGCTCCTCCTCCGGGGGAAAGCCGCGATTGCCGCTGCGGTGCGGCGTCGCTTTCGCGCAATCCGTCGTTCCGCCGTTTTCATTAGCGGCAAGACCATAACGGGCGTTTAATTATCTGTTGAACCATCAGACGCGCCGCCGAGAGCGCGCGCGGGGAATGCGGCTCGCCCGTCGGTGTCATCCCGCTCGCTCATTCCGCTGTTAGTTGTCACTCCACCGCCGCGAAGCAGTCAAAGCGAAGACCTCGCTCCGTCTTCCTCCGCCGATAGCTCGATCATCGTGCTCGCGCACTGTGCCCTTCGTCGAGGTGTAAAAGTGCGCTGATGGAGGAGGCTCGGGGAATCGAGTGAGAATCGAGTGCGTCGCGACCGACACTTTTCTCACCCCTCGACGAGAGGTCGCAGCGATTGCGACCTGAGTGTGCTCGGAGGGGAAGGAGGGACGAGTGAAGCTTCGGTTCTGAGTGCTGACGCTGAACTCGACGCGATTATCAATCATTTGCGTGTACGCGAAAGACAGAGAGAGAGAGAGAGAGAGAGAGAGAGAGAGGGAGGGAGAGAGAGAGAGAATGCCGATCAGTGCGACGCGCCGATTAGATAAGATTATCGTACCTGGCGAGTACATTCTCGTGCGATAAACACACATTTTTCTCTCTCTCTCTCTCTCTCTTTCTCTCGCAGAGATAGCTAGCGACAGTCGCCCGAGAGTCATCGAAGCGCGTTGATTCGATTTACTTCTTACGTACGGTACCGCGTGACGCGACAGTGAAGGTATCAGTGAATGTATTAAGCAAATATTTGGAGCCTGATCAAAAAGATAAGAGACAAAGACGAAGAAGAAGGCGAGAAGATAACGTAACGGTGTGCCGAAAATTACCGCCGGATGTGATCGAGCACGCGACTGTCGATCTACGCGAAGACGGAGGGACTTGACGCGCGCGTTCGCTTCGACCGACGACGAATCACTTTCTCGACACCACTTTCTCGGACACTTTGACTCGGATAATCGCGCATGACCGCGGGGCGCGACGTCGCGCGAATTTGTCGGGCTTTTAAGCACCATTACGTCCCGGCTACGTAATTTCGACTTTAGCGGCCGGCTCGTGTAATCAGAGAAACATCCTGCCGGCGCGAGTCGCTCGCACAAATATCCCTGCGGTCGCGTCCAGCGTCCGGCCGGCGCAGGGTGTGTCTTTCACGTGCATGCTAGAGTCGGTAACCGCGACTCTTGGGAGACCTTGCATCCCGTGCTGCCCCGGAGGATGTTGTTAACTTCGGAGCGCGTTTCCTGCCAAGAAGGCGAAACGCGAGCGGTCGCGCGCGACGCGTGTAAACGCGACGCGTCTTCTCCGAGCGCGACAAGTCTCCCGGTAACGAGCCTCACGTGAACGCGCTGCGGGAATGAAACAGGCTAATTATCAATTACACGTCGTGGCATAATGTTGAAATTAATTAGCCGAGATTAGCTCGTCGGGATAATACGCGCGTCGGGGTTAGAATTTAAGACCGTTCGAGCTCGAGGAGCTTGTCCTGGCTCGCCGATGCTAGCCGAGTGCATAGTCATATTACTGGCCATTTAATCAACGTTAATTGTCATTACGAACGGTCACATTGTTAGTCCATCTTCAATAACGCGCCAGGCGCCAGGCGCCGTCTTTCGAGGACGGCTTCGACTCGACTTCGCCGGGTAAATTTCCCAGGGATTTTCAAGCTTCACGCGGAGAATGAGAGGCGGCGGGGATTAATAGACATCGCGAAGTGATATCGAAATCAATTTCGCACGTATTATTAGCATGTCACCGATACGATGATGACGCGCTGAGTTGCGCCTGCCAAGTTTGCCGCGTCTCTCGGGCAACCTGACGAGTCGCTTTTCCTCGTGCAAGTCTCGCCAAGCAGCTCTCGAATCCGAAGCGATCGACAACGGACGGCACGCGCGACAGGTAGATTAAACAAAGTTGCTCGACAAGCTTCGTCGCGCGAAGGCGCGATCTCGACCTCTTAATGCGGTGCTCGAAGTGACGAAGGCGCGAAACTTTCGCAACACCACCTATCGCGTAAACTCGCTTCTTCGCACGCACGTCGCAGATCGATCGCGCGCGCGCGCGCGCGACTCGTGTTGATAACTCGCCGCCGAAAGCCTCCCGCTGCGACACTCGTGTGGAAATCTGCTGTGGGTGCTGTGTGTGCGCGCGTGTTGCCTCTGTGGGACTATCTGTGGGGTGACGTAACACGGTGCATAGATAAGCGCGATTCGTTGTTCTTCCGGCAAGTCGCAGGCGCGTATGTCCTCCCCCGGCTTCACCACACGTGGCGCGATGAGCCTCTGGCGGTTTGGACCCTTCAAGGATGGTACGTTCGTTACTGACAATTAATCGGCATTGCTGCGCGATTGTTAGCGCGATAGTCGTATTGCTTTGAATAATGTTCATGACTGAGTCGTCGAACAGCTCTCGAAGTTGAAGCGGTCGAAAATGAGCACGTGAGCAGGGTGGATTACAGCCCTTACAGCTGTACTTATCACTCTGCAGTGGGTGTCTTATATCTTTTAGCAATCTATGCCCCCTTTGACTTCCGTAGGAAAAGAAGTTTCAGCTCAAAAACTACAGGAATCGGCGGCAAACCGCCTCGGACCATGAGAGCTAAACAAAGCTGAAATAAGCTCTTTAGCGTTTTTATGCACCAACTCCACACCAGGAAAAAGAATTTAGTATCTCTAACAAAACTGTTTAGTTGAGGCATTTTTTAATAGCAAGCAAATATCTTGAAGTTTTATATAACAAAATATTTAGTTGTCTCAACTAAACATATTTTTCTGCTTTGTTCTCTGGACCAAACGATTTTGTTCTTGGACTTCATACATAAAGATCTAGCATTTTAGTTATTCTATCTATAAAAGTTACATAATAACGAAATATTATTTTACATAAACTAAAATAATGCCCAGTGGATACTATTTTGTCTTTCTGTGCACTAAAATTTAGATTTTATATATTAAGAAAAAATTATAGTATTTTTAACAAAATTCGTACAGTTCCAGCTTTTTGGTTGCTATAACAAAAGTATTACGTTGTACGAACAAACCGTAATCAAACAAGAATATTTGTTTACAGGAACTAAACAGTTTTGTCGGGCATATTTTAACCAAATTATTTTGTTGTTACAACAAAATTTTGGTTCACGCAACAATACATTTTTCCTAGTGCATTCTTTTGACTGTCCGCCTCCCTTTCTGTGCGCCTTTGTCTACACCGAGAGTACGCCGATATTTCCCCCAAAATCCTATCTCGCAGCGTGTTGTCTCACTCGCGCGGCAATTTGCGCACGGTGACGCATTCGCGCGGTAACATCTCCGAGGGCGAGATCAATCGGCTATCGGGGCTAAAAAAATAAGCAGCGTATCGAGCCGAAAGCGCACTCGTCGCGCTATATTATCCGCGAATACCGTGCGCGCGCGCGCGCGCGCGAGAGAGAAAGAGAGAGAGAGAGGGAGAGAGGAAAAGTGTAGAATTTATTGCGCTTATCTAAACACACGCGTCGCCCGAGCTCGCCGCGTGTACACTCCGATGAGCGGGAAAAAATCGAGATCCTTTCAGCGTTGTACGCGCGTACGCGGGGATGAGCGCTTTTCTATCAACAACAGGCGACAAACCTCGCGTGAGAGCACGATGGGGATTTATCATCGCTGCTGCGTACGCGTACACGCGCCCGACGCGAAGATAATCGAAGGTGTGTCGCTCTCGCGAAAATTTCCTCACCGCGACTCACTCAGCCGCGGTCGAAGAGAGGCGGACGAGATATTTGAATTTGCATAATAAAGTCAAAGAACTTGGGCGATTGTGCCGGCACGTTCTGCGAAGGTTGCCGTTAATGCCGGCTGAATCTTGAAGCTTTATCTACGTGCGATACAGAGGACAAATTATTTCCTGCTCGCGGAAAACTGCGGTGAGCCGCGCGCGTGCTCTTCTTTCTCTCCCTTCAGCCCTTCGGCATAATAAGGGCTTTTATTGCGATTTATCTACGTCGGTTTATGCGATCGGTATGACGGCAAAGCTGATCTGTTGGCGGGAGAGAGAGAGAGAGAGAGAGAGAGAGAGAGAGAGAGAGAGAGAGAGAGAGAGAGAGAGAACGTGTGCGTTTAGCACGTTTAAATCGACCGTCAAATAGATTCCAATACAATTAATTAGTCTTTCCTTTGTCCCTCCCGATTAATTGCGTCGACAGTATTTTCCGTCGCCGAACGAGCGAAATTAATAGCCGCGTCAGCTTTTAATATTATTCCGAACAGTTTTAACGGCTTGCGTAGTCTCCTTTGCGATGAAATATTCAACGTCGAGGAGGAGTGTCGATTATTATAATTGTTGTTTTATTCTCGCGTCCGGCGGGAGAATGAAACATGCGCGTGATGCGTCTCGTGGGGGGCGGAAGAGAAGGGAGGAGCAGGAGGAGAAATTATGAACCGCAGTTTAGAGTTATCTCAACGTGCTGCCGCGAGATCAATCGCGATGATATTCCGGCACGGTCCGCTATAAGCGCTTCCGAGCGGGGAATTTCGCTTCGTCGAAATAAAGAGTCGCTGCGCGCCACGTCGACTTGGCAACGAATGACAATGGGCATTTAGGTCATCGATTGCTCCCAGAGGACGCGGTGTCCTTTTACGAGCTTCTCGAGATCTCCGGCGGATAAGCTTTGTGCAATTTGTCAGCCATCTCGCGATACAGTCATCACCGTCGTCGCGACGACTGTCTCTCCCCCGTTGGGGGACGCGAACGCGATTGATCGTGCAATCGCGAGTACAATCGTGCGACACAAAAGTCCAAAGTACAATCATGTACAGTCCTTACTGAAGTCCGCCGGAGCCGTGAAATCTCCTATGCGGCTCTAATGAAGTTCTCCGTCCCGACAATGGCGCCGGGCCGGCGCGGGCAATTCGATCTAACGAAATTTTAATCTCGGCGAGACTCGAGATTTGAGCCGCCGAGCACAATCAGTTTTCCGCCGCTGCAATATAAGGGCTGTGACGTCACTCGAACAATGTTTCCTCGCAGTTTGCTCCAGTTGGAAACTGAACACCCCCCACTCCCCTGCCGCGACAATCGCGCCGTTAGTCATTTCGAGCGTAATTTTCCGCCGATTCCCCGCGATCATTCTCGCGATTTTCCGAACATGCATCCGTCCAGCTCCGTTTTGCTCAACAGCAAAATTCTGCTCCCAACGAGAACGTTCTCGTCGGACACTTCCCGGATCTTCCCGTCCGCGCGAATTCCTGCAATCGCGCCGCTTGCGGCGCCGCGATTCCCGTTTCTCAAGGCGAGTCCGCCGAAACCGGACTTTGCGATAAATATTTCCACCGTCGCGACGATTTGTCGCTCTCCTCGATGGGGTGGTTTACGTCTAGCCGCGGCCTGCTAATGTCGAAGGAAGTTCCGTCAAGGGTTGCGCAGGGTTGAACCTCGTTCGAGAGCGTCCCCGGAGAGCCGCTGACACCGCGACGTCTCATTGTTATGTCACCGTTGTCGCGCGCCGTGGAGGAGCGCGTTCTCGACACCTGATGATCTCGAGTCTCTCCTCTCTCTCTCCCTTCTTCTCCCTCTCGTTCATTCTTCTTTTCTCCGGTAAGTTGCGCAAACTCGCGACTTCGCCGCGTCGAGCATCTTTCTTCGACCCTTTCGTCTCGGCCTTTCTCGTCCCGTCGCCGTTATCGTTTCCGTGAGAGCGAAACATATCCGACGAGAAGAAAGATAAAACGGCCGTATAAAAATCAGATACACAGCAGCGAACGACTGTGGAAGTCGAGCACTCGCTGGTGGAAACCGCGGCGATGTCTGTCGCGCAAAGTGCTACCGTTAGAGAGAGAGAGAGAGAGAGAGAGAGAGAGAGAGAGAGGGGGGAAAGAGAAAGAGAGAATTTTTCACGGCAGCACGCGGATACGACGCGCATTATTGCTGCCGGATCTTTGCCTCTTCAGCCCTCGCCTGACGGAATGTCGCGGTGATTCATGTTTCTCTGTTTGTCCATGAGATTTGGCCGCGACTGGGGAATTTAGAGAGAACACAACGGCGCCTCCTTCAGAGACACCACGTGTGCTCTTCGTATCGCGTCGGACGGCTGCGATTTTCGTGAAACTGAAAATAACGCCGTCTGTATGTAACGTCAACTGTTTAACAGTTGGCATATTGAATCGTTGGCGTCCGTCGGTTACCTTTGTATCGTAGTTTCAATTATACGCGAAAGATCAAGCTTGTTTTTCACAAAACAAGAGACAATTATCCTGTGACATTTTTTGCGTCCTGTGAATAATATTAGGCTACCCGAGTCATATTCTTGCTGCGAATGACTCAAATATTGAATAACGCGCAGTCTGTCTGATTACAACGAGTTAATTGCGCGCGAAAGAACGCAACTATCTGGACGGACAGTCGGTATCGCGGTCGTTGTCCTTAGACGTTCCCCAACAGTAAACCGTGCGCTGATGGGCGAAGGAGAATGGGCGTCTCGCCGTGAATTCGGCATGAAGCTTCGCTCACCAAGCTATTCAGCATCCGCTGGCCACCTTCGGCTATGGTTACGGCCTTGGAGAGAAATTTATGTTTCAGACAGGCCGGCTCTCCCATTTTTCGGAGGTCCTCTCGGACGATTTAACGAGCGACGTTAACCCCGCGCACATAAATTTCTCATAACCCCGATCCCGCGTAGATACCAGCCCATCGATCCCGTCGTCGTCGTCATTTATCAGAATTTTCAGCGTCCGACGTGCAAAGCCGCGCTCGCGTATCCCGTTTCGCCGCGTGACCCGCGGCATTGTCGCATTTCATCGCGGCGGAGTCGAACGATGGGTGTCGAGAGAAAAATAAGAGACCAAAAGTGGTCTCTCCGGCCACTCCGGCTGCTCGCGTTCCTCTTCTGCTTCTCGCCTCACTTCTGTCATACTTTTACGTGGCTCGCCGAAAGCGTCGTGTCGACGCGATCGGATAAGAAGCGATCACGAAAAGCCGCGAGGAAGCGCGGCATATCGCACGCTAGCATGAGAGGGGCAGGGGGAAAAGTAGCACACAGTTATCGAATAAGGTGAGAAATATTGCGGAGATGCGACGTTGAAAAACTGGAAGAGCTACCGTCTCGCCTTTTTCCTCGTCGTCGTCGTCGATGGGGGTCGATTGGCTTTGTCTCGCGGAAACTCGCAAGCCAGCTCACCAAGACGCCGTTTATCGATTTTCCGGCTGCGAGCATTCTTGAAAGTGCGACGGTAATACGTCGCAAACTCGCGCGGAGTGCGCGCGGAAATTGACAAACAGACCTTATGGAAGCCGGCTGGCCGGTCGCTCGCGAGATCGACGACGATCGGAGAAGCGCAGGATCGTGACAACGAAAGCGTCTCGCTTCGAGGGAGAAAGAGAGAGAGAGAGAGAGAGAGAGAGAGAGAGAGAGAGAGAGAGAGAGAGGCAACGTAATGAAAATCATCATCGCGCAACGCGACGTCGCACAGTGGGGCCAGATGACATTTTTTGGTTGAAAATTCTCTAGAGACCTGAATTTCCAACCGATCAGCGACACCAATGGATGAGGTTGATTCTGAATAAATTCCGAAGAGATCTATCTTATCAATATTTAAAAAAAAATTTTTTTTCTCGAATTACTAGCCCCAAAAGAGGAAAAATTATCGTCAAACGCGAGAAACTTGTGAAATACTCATTATTCGACATTTATTTCTATCTAATAGCGTATTCAGCGGATTGAAACTATGAAACCAATCAACAGACAGACCTCGAGATTTATCGATCTTGAAGCAGAAACTCATTAACCCAAAACTCATATGCTCAAAATACGAAAACATCAAATATAGACCCGTTAAGCACAAAACCGAGGGATTTGAGTCTTAAGCCCATCAACCTAGGAATCTATCAATCCGAGAACTTTTTAGCTTGTAGATGCATGAAGCCGTATATATTACACTGAGAGAAAAGTACATGATATTTGGAACTATAATGATATAGTAACTAAATTATAGTCCGAAATATCATATTTATAGTAAGTCATAGAGACAGTTATGATAATATCGGTAATAATTACGATATAGTATAACCAACTGTATAATATTTTTACTAAGAATTATAGTAAGCTAAACTAAAATTATTGTATGGGTACAAATCCATAAAATGGTAGGTGAAGTAACTCTTTTATATAGTCAATATTACCAGAATATTTGCTAAATGATGACAGATGTAACTATATGAATATTAAATCTCACTATATCAGTGAATGAGAAACTACCATATATGTGGTAAAAGTAACTGAACAATTATTTAAGACAATCATTGACTATATATTTGTGTTTATTCTACTATATTTTGCAGGTTTCACGAACTATAAAAAATATGATTGACGCCAAAATGAACTATAAAATATAGTGAGATTATAGTTAATTCAACTATATTTTTCTATCAGTGTAAGAACCCCAAATAGTCCAGGAACCCAATCTAGCCGTAGCTCGAGAACCTAATAATACTCGACGTTGAATATTCAGCTATAAAACATTAAGTTCGAGCCTCGAAACTTTTAAGACAAATCCCAAACCCATGAACCCTGAAGCGATAATTTTTTCAAAATTTCGGCTAGACAGATCTCTTTGGAATTTATTCAGGATCAACCTCATCCATTGGTGTCGATGATCGGTTGGAAATTCAGGTCTCTAGAGAATTTTCAACCAAAGAATGTTATCTATCCTCATTGTGTGCGTTGGCACCATGAAACCGCGTTTCAATGGGACGTCTTCTCGCTCGCGGAAAAAATCCTCCGAACTTCTCACAATGCGCTCGGTGCGATTTGTCCTGTATAACCGGGGCGGCTTCTGACGACGGCGGAGGAGCGGTAATTCCGCAAACGAGGTTTCATGGTAACCCCTATTACATATTGTGCGACGCTTATTACGACACTCGCCATTATCACGGAAACCTCATTTATTTCGAGCCGAAAGCCAACTCGTCATTCGCAGCAGGGGCGAGAGGGAGAAGGGAAGAGACGGAGGCTATTTCGGTGTAAGAGCTGTAATATTGCAGGCGAAACTATTTCAATAACAGAGCCACCCCCGCGTTTTCCGCCAGAAACGCGGCAGCATCCTCGCAATACCGCGCCTATCCTCTCGCAAACTTGATCGCTTCGACTGGCATGGAGCAAAAGGAAAAAAGATCTCGTAACTTATAGGAAACGACAATCCAAATAATTGAATCCCCCCGTTCCCCCCGCCGAACGAAGATTCCACATTCCGGGGGAAAGAGGGGATATTACTTTCCACTTTCAGCGATTAGTTGAGATTCGAGGCGACGGGGTGGTGATCGGTTGGGCTTACGCAATTACCCTCTTCTCGTAACTCATGCGGTAATTGCCGCGTACTCGTTACACCGGTCATAATTAGCGCGTGAAGACACGCTCTCGTGAATAGCGTCGGCGCGAAAGATAAGCGCGAGGCTGCGTCGTAGTTTCTTTCTCTCACTCCCTCTCTCTTTCTTTTATCCGCGAGAGCGTAGCCGGAGATCGTTGAAAGGGTGTTTGCGTGTTAAAATTAAAAGCTCCATTATAACGTAACCATTATGACGTTTCGTCTTTTGTTCCTCCTCCCCCCCCTCTCTCTCTCTCTCTCTCTCTCTCTCTCTCTCTCTCGCGATCCACGTGTTAACAATGGAATGCGTTAACGCTCCGTGTAAATGCGCGCCTTCGCGAGAGCGACGACGGCAGCGGCACGTGACGTTATTTCCGCCTAGTTTGACTCTTTGAACGAATCTCCAACACTGTGCGGCCGCGATCGGGGATAGTATAATTACAGTCTAATTGGGTTCTCATCGCCAAATCGGATAGCTCGTTTCCTGGGTAATCGCAAAAGTGCGCTCCGGCTGTCCGCCTCGTAAAAAGTACAATTACGTTAAGAGATTTTGCACGGTTTCAGCTCGGGCGGTTTAAAATCCGTGCCGAGCCGGTCGATCGATCGCGCGCGCGCCTCGCTTTGTTCCCGCGAATGTTCGCGCGAGTTGTATCGCGACGAGAGACGAGAGTCAATTTTATTACACGGCGATTTCGCGCGATGATTACAACGCGCATGTTAATACGTTGCGATGGCCCGGTTCTCGCTTTTATTATCATGCATTTCTCCCGCGCGCTCTCGGCGCGTGCCCCCGCCCGGCCTGTTTACATGTTTTATATTCGTGATACGCGCTTCTCCGATATTATACTCTCTCTCTCTCTCTCTTCGCTTTTTCCATTCGCCCGTCCTTCCGGATCGCGCGCGGTGTCCGACAGGACGGGACTGATTCACGGCATGCAAAGTGAATTCCATTCCGTCTTCCTTTATTTTCCCACCGCTCGAATACACGTCCTAGAATACTGCAGGTTACTCGAAACCGGTTACGACATAACGCGCTTTCGCACTACTTGTGCCGCATTCCGTCTCTTGTTATACACGGTGGTCAGAATGCTCGTAAATAAGCTCGGCGCGATATGTTTAAACAATACGACAGACTTCGCGCGCGAGCTTGAGCGATGACTCACCGCACGGCAATAATAGCAGGCGCACGAAAATCCCTTCGCGTCGCCCTTTATGGGCGGCGAATGTGTGGTGGTCCACTCGTCGGCCGAGTAAACGCTCTCGCACTTTCGTCGTCAATTTCGCGATCGAACATGACAATGACGGTTGCGATTACGATCGCTCGGGGAAAATTCGAGGGAAAGATCGGGAGCCAAAAGCGCACCCACGCACGCTTGGCGTGCGTGGTCGGGTCGCGTTAAAGCGCGAGTTTCAATAAACTTTATGTGTCACACATCTCGCCGATAATTATGTTAAATTTAACGCATTTGGAAAAAGAGTCGAAATTTCTGCAGATTTACGTGGGTTTCGATAGATGCCAGATGTATTATCTAGATTTGACTTCTCTTTCGAGATTTCTTGCCTCTGAAAAAGATCCGGAACGTCTTGTATATATTAATGCTTAGCTTCTGACGTTCACAAAAGGCATTTTTAGCATAACATTTTTCTCCCAACTCTGATGGATGCGCAACTTTCTAGTACTGCCGTCCCCGACAGGAATCATTCTTATTCCTTTCT